GGATTGTCATAAAATGCCTTGAAATGTTTTCTTTGTCTTATCCTTATTTCTCCATTAATTTTTAAAAATAACTTTGTGGGTAATAGCATCCTAGGTTTACAGTTATTTTCTTTCAGAGCCTGAAATATTTCATTCCATGCTCTTTTAGCTTTTATGGTTACTGATGAAGTCTGGAGTAATCCTGATATTTCTTTTTTTGTATGTAAGTCAATATTTTTCTCCTGCTGCTATTAGGATTATTGCTTTAATTTGTATTTCTGACATCCTGACTGTGATGTGTCATGGTAAGCTTATTGTCTGGTCCTGTCTATTTGGAGTTAAGCTTGGTTATCTACTTCATTTACTGAGTTCATTTACTGATATAATTGTGCTGAACAGTCTTTCTATTTCATTTTATCCCTTCCTTCTATACCATGCAGGCTCAGGTTTCTTGAGAGTTTTGTTCATGCTCCTTAATTTTTTTCTTTATATACATATGTTTGTATTATTGTCTCAACTTTATCCTCTATCCTTGAAATTTAGTCTTCTGTGTGGCCTTGTCAGTTAATTACAGTATCTGTTGTGATTTTTATTTGATTGACCATCTCCTTCATTTCAAGTATTTCTGTTTGATTCCTTTTCAGTGTTTCGATGTCTTTGCTGAACTTTTTCTCCATATTTTGTTCTTTCATCTCCAGTTTATTGTTTCATTCACTTTGGAGACTTGTTGAGGCCTTGGGGAGATTTCCTTAATTCATGCATTTGTTTAATTCTATATGATCACTAATTCTTTTAAAAAGTAAAACTCTGGGGCTGGAGAGACAACTCAGCGGTTAAGAGCACTGGCTGCTCTTGCAGAGAACCTAGGTTCTGTTCCTAGCAACCACATGGCAGCTAACAACCATCCATAACTCCAGTTCCAAGGGATCTGACACCCTCTTCTGACCTCTGCAGGCATTATACGACATGGGTGCACTTACACATATGTAGGCAATACACTTATACACATAAAAATAAAATAATAAATTTTTTAAGTAAAATTCTGAATTCTTTCCCAGACATTTTAGCTACCTCTGAAGTTTTGGATTCCTTTATGGGGAGTTGGTCAGTTGGGGTGGGTCACGGGTGGTGCTTGTGTCATATTCTTTGTGTTCCTGTGTTGTTTGTTGTAGTGGGTTTGTCTTTCAGTTTTGACTACCCCTTCTTCCAAAACAATTTGGATGTTTTGTTTCTGTGATTCTTCCTATAGGGATGTCTGCATGGAGCTTAAGGTTGTCTAACGAAATTGCTGAGGCAATCCAGTACTGGCTAAGTGCCAACAGGAGCCCAAGGTGGAGTCACACACCAAGTCCCAAGGCAACCAGTCAGGAACACTACGTAGTCACTCCCCAAGATCAAACGCATTAGAGGAAGGACATATAATGTCAAACCCACCAAAGTCCGTGCAGCAACCTGGGGTTGTAGTCAACACCACAGGCCTGAAGCAACCTCTGGGACTACAGCAATACAGACTACCTTTCCTGCAATGACCACCATAATCCCAGAATCCCAAACCCTGCACCTATTCTGTCCTTAAGAGACCCCGGGAGTCAAACACCCATCTCTCAGGGGACTCTACACACACTGGAGCCAAAGCTCAGGCCCCATGATGACCTCTGAGATGACCAAGGCTTGAAGCCTGGCCCCACAGTGCACACAGGTCCCTCCAGAGGTGAGAGTCTAGTCCCCAGATGCACCAGGAACCCACTGCAGTAGCTCCAGCAGTGCTGTGCAGTCTTACAGGTGCACAGGAGGCCTAGTTGCAGGGTGTTGTCTAGGTCCACTGAAGCCAGAGGCCTGGTTCTGCTGAGCCCCCTGCTGCCTGAGACAGAGTTCTGCTCACTTACTTGTTTTTTAAGTAATTTATTTTTTTATGTGCATGCATGTATTGCCTGCATGTGGGTAAGTGCACCTGTGTCATGCAATGCCCACAGAGGACAGAAGAGGCTGTCAGATCCCCTGGAACTGGAATTACAGACAGTTGTTAGCTGCTATGTGGGCGCTGAAATTTGAAGCTGGGTCTTCTGCAAGAACAGTCAGTGTTCTTAATCGCTGAGCCATCTCTCCAGTCCCCGTTATGTGTTTTTTAAAACCTACAAATAATACTTTGATGAGCACCTTCGAACAAAGATGTTTTCTGAACACCTAAGTATAACAGTTGACAATTTTTTCAATAAGTATTATTGAGTGATATGCACATCACATCAGTCACTGAGATAGGATCTAAAAGAACAGTTAAGAATAAAATATGGCTCTTCCTTGAGAGAGTTTTTGCCTACTGGGGAAAACAGAAGCAAAAATCAACCACATAATTTCTCCATAATATGAGAAGAGAGAACATAAGGAAAAGCATAGGTTGCTCTGTTAGCAAAGGTAAGGGAGATTTGTAAAATCTCAAATACATCTTGAAGGTGGATTGAGAATAAGCTAGGCTCTAGAGAAGTGCTGTCATGTGGAGATATAATGCAAGTTACAAATGCCACTTAAAGCTGTCTCATACCAGTTTTAAAGGAAAAGAAGCCAGTTAGGGCTGGGTACAGTGTAGCACACAGGCAGAGTGTTTGTCTAGCATGTACAAAGCCTCGGGTTTGATTCCTCAGCAGATTAAAAAAAGAAAGATTAAGTTAATTTTAATAACTTGTTTTATTTCATTCTATCCAATATGCAGCATATTATCTTTTTATCTTGTATTCAGTATTTTTTAAGACATGATCTCACTATATATCCTTGGATGGCCTGGAACTCACTATATAGACCAGACTGGCCTTGAACTCCCAGAGATCCACCTGCCTCTTCCCCTCGAGTGCTGTGATTAAAAGTGTGAATCACCATGCCCAGTGTATTTATTATTTAAAGTCTACATTATCTTTCATTGTAAACCTTCAAAATCCCTATGAGTCACATTTACAGGACATCTTAATTCAGACTGAACACAGTGCCACAGCAGCCTGTGGCTAATGACAAATTAGACAAATCAATATATAACTACTATTAATCTCTAATCACACATACACAAATGTGTGATGATTGTATGGGGTTGAGGTAAAGGAAAAGATAACCTGTAAAATGGCATAAAGAAAACTCAGGAGAACTGTAGAAATTAACATAGAATGGTTCTATATTAATCATGTTGGTGTTTTCGTATATGTACATGTCAGAACTCATTAAATTATATGCCTTGGATGGATGTAGTTTACTGCACATAAATTTTATCTCAGTAAGTTTATTTTGAGAAAATTACCAACAAGTAAAGATGAGGAGACTGTAAGTAGAGCTTTCCCAGCCAGCACAGCATCATACTCCTCTCTGAGGACCTCTTTCACTTTCTCCTAAGAGCATTGTCATTTTTAATGTCTTAGCTAATTTGGTACTCTAAAGTGGTACCTTGTTGTCTTGATTTACATTTTATTTAATAACAAAAGGGCCTTTCATATTGAACTAGTATTTCCATCTTCCCAAGTCAAGTTTTGTTCTGACATCTATAGTAAATGCTTGGAAGAAGGGAGGGAGGGAGGGAGGGAGGTTGATTTCCATATCATTTATACACTAATGCTTCGGTAATATGGTACTACATCGAAAGCAAGAAGGCATATGAAAATGATTGAGAATTCAAGATTCTGATTCATTCTCTCTCTCTCCTCTCTCTCCCTCTCTCTGTCTCTCTCTTTTTCTTTTTCTTTCTTTTTCTCTCTCTCTCTCTCTCTCTCTCTCTCTCTCTCTCTCTCTCTCTGTCCCCCAGCTCACCAAAGTAGTCTGATTCTGTGTCTCCAGTCTCTCCCTGCTCTTGTCCCTCATCATCAGCCTGCCTGGGGTCCTTTTGAACTATTTAAATAAAAAGCATAGGCTGGCCAAGGGGAAGATTACTGTGTGCCTGTGTCTGGCAGCTTTCATTTCCCTTGATGCTTGAGAGGCACAGTAGACAGGTAGGAGCAGCAGCAAGTGGTGCCCCCTAGCTTTGAAGTCCCAGTGCTAGCTTTGAATATTGGGATTCAGTTCTACAGGTGTTACAGTTTTTCCTGTGGGCCTAGGAATTTGGGATTCCTCAGATCTTAGTTGCTGCTGCTGGGATCCTAGGTTCCATGCAGACCTAAATACCAGGATTCCTCGGCTCTTGGAGCACCAGTATTAGAACTCTTATGTAAGCTTAGCAATTCAGGACACCTCAGTCCCTAACCTCTGCCAGTGTTACTGCTCTTGGCCTGGGGCTTGAGGCCCTTAGCCCTAAGAGCTTAGATGCATGGAACTCTTCCAGCAACCAGCCTTGCCACTTGGACCAATCACAGTCTTGTTGCTTTACCACCAATCAGAACAATCCCTCTGTAGACCACCAGAAGAAGTGCCCCCCACCCCCCACCCCCACCTCCGTGGAAATGGTTACAAGATCATTTAAGGTTCATGGAGGCTTGTGATGGCAGGAAGTCTGGTGCGCACTATTTGGAACAGCCCTGACTGAGGCCCATGCCTTCAGAAGTTAGAATGATCAGCTGCACTTGTCCCATCTATCATTTTCTCAAAGCATCTATGGAGTATCAGAGATGGTTTGTGTTGGCATAAGGGTAATTTAGTGGCTACTTTGACTGATTGTCCTTTTCCTCAAGGCAGTCAGGGCAAGACAAGAGTAGAGTCCAACGACTACTAATTAGGGAGTCAGACTGCCCATCCCCCATCATCTTTGCGTTTTTGCAGGAAAATGAACATCAGAAGGAGTGCTTACAATGAGAACTTAGGTTATTATTAACACCAATAGTTAATGCCTTTAACAGATATTAACAGTGTTGTCACGGTGCTTAACATCTGCCCAGTGCCCCAAGAAGGAGTGAGTTCTCTTTGTGTTCTATTATTATGACCTTCCTCAATATCTCAACAATATTTGAGAAAATCTGGTTTATTTGTCAATTGCTTGGATTTGCTGGATCTTGGGGCCTCTACTGACGCGCTTCCTTTGCAATTATATCCCTTCCTCCACGTGGTTCTCATTTCAGCAAACTGAAACCTCAGCTTCCACTAAGTGACCACCTTAATATTCTTGAAGAGAATATTCGGAGACTGCTGCCCCTTCCGCCTTTGGAAAAACTCCTAAGTGAGGGAGAAACAGACAAAGACAAGGAACGCATTAAGGTAGGTGGGGTTGGGACAGGGCAGGGGAACGGAAGGCTGTGACGCGACTTTCTGAACCTGGCACTAACAGTCACACTTGCTTCAGTTTCTCTACGAGCGATCTATGGATGCTCTCGGAAAGCTTCTGAGATCCATGATGTGGGGTAATGTGGATGCACAGAACTGTGAAGAAATGTTCAGCGTAAGGCCACCACTCCCTAATGGTCTCCCAGTGTGCCACACCAACCAACACTACCCGTCTCATTCACAGAAAGACACCCAGCATAACCCGTTACCGCACTACATAAGGCAGTCCTCTTAAAAAAAAATGTTATGGGGAGGTGGGCGCCCTGTTACAGAAGAAACAGGAAAAAGAAGAGCAGCTAGGGAGAGGGGCAGAAAGACCAAATGCCTGTAACTAACAGTAAGTAAAGACATTTATTCTTTGATTGCTAGCTTCTCCGAATGTGGCTTGTTTCTCAGAAAGAGTGGGAAAGAGAAAGAGCTTTCCAGATCACCGCAAAAGTGCTGACAAATGATATTGAGGCAAGTAAACTCCTAAAAATAGATTTCATGGCTTGTGAACTGCAAGGACTTCTGGCACTCTTGCCTGATGGATCTCAGGTTCCGGGTGGAGGGTGTGGCAAAGCCCTGAGTGGTGTCCCCCACCTCCAGAGCTCAGAGAGCACTCTGGCTGTATCTCACGCTTGCTCGCTCGGTTTCCACTGACCATAAGGAATGAGGCACCTTTTAAATGTTCAAGCCTAAATTTCATCCAAACGCCTGCAGGGGGAAAACAATGGCTTCAAATAGGTGTGGAGGATATGTCGGTACACCACCAAGCCACTCGATCACATGGTGGCCTCCTTTGTCCTGCAGGCACCAAAGAACTTCAGAATCGGGTCACTGCTTGGGCTCCTGGCTCCTCACTCTTGTGACAGCCTTCCCACCATCCGCCAGGCAGCTACGAGCTCCACTGTCGGTCTATTCTGTGCAAAAGGTGAAGGAAAGATGGGAGACCTCCAGGGAGAGGAGACACCTGTTTTCTTTGCTCTGTCTCTCCTCATTTCCTGATCTTTCTTTCCCTAATCTCCTCCTACCTGGCCAGTTCTCCATTTCCAGTTCTAATACCTTAATTATGTCACGGAATTCATTGTCTCTTGGATCTGAAACAAATCATTTTTTTTTTCCTCTGTGGAAGCTTTCCTGTTTTGTTTTGTTTTTCTTTGTTTGTTTGCTTTTAATACCAAAGCATTATAAAGATCTGTTAAAGTGGGTAAAATGTTTTGAAAGTCTCTGGTTTAAATCACTGAGAAGCTGGGCATATTAACAGTGCTTCCTCTATCATATGATTTCCTTCAGGAGAAAATTACACAGTTATTACAGTGCTAAGTAACTTTGAAAGTGCCCCAGGAAAGAGAGCTTTGTGGAAGATTTTTTTCCCTAGCTTACAGAAATTAAGACTTCTTGCCAGGCACGGTGGCACATGCCTTTAGTTCCAATACTCAGGAGGCAGAGGCAAGGGAATTTCTGTGAGTTGGAGGTCAACCTTGTGTACAGAATGAGTTCCAGGCCAACTGGGGCTACAGGGAGACCCTGTCTCAAAAAGACAAAAAAAGGGGCCGGACCCACGCCTTTAATCCCAGCACTTGGGAGGCAGAGGCAGGCGGATCTTTGTGAGTTCGAAGCCAGCTTGGTCTACATAGTGAGTTACAAGACAGCTGGGGCTACAAGGAGACCCTGTCTCAAAAAAGACAAAAGAAAGAAGAAGGAAGGAGGAAAGAAGGAGGAAGGAAGGAGGAAGGAGGAAGGAAGGAGGAAGGAAGAAGGAAGGAAGAAGGAAGGAAGGAGGAAGGGAGGGAGGAAGGAAGGAAGGAAGGAAGGAAGGAAGGAAGGAAGGAAGGAAGGAAGGAAGGAAGAAATCAAGGCTTCCCAACCCCTTGCTCTCCAATTATGTGAATAATTGTCTATATCTAAAAAGAAATCTTAAAACACCAACCTCAAACTGAAGCCAACAGTCAGGAGCTCTTGTCCAGGTTGACTCAGCAAAGGTGTTACTAATAGCAGCTCTGCACTGCTTGAGCACAGCTCTCTGGAGAACAGGTGTGGTTGCGAGGCACACTGGGACTAGGTTTAATACCACCTCATGCCTGTATTTCCATCACTCTTTCAGGTATTCAGAATATTAACTGAGTACCTTTCCATGTGTCAAGCACTGTTCTGTTGCTGGGGACACAGGGATACTGCAATTCTAAGAGTTCTGAGAAAAGTGCGTTATGACTTTTTAGATTTTCAGTAAGTCAACCAAGAATTACATGCTAACTGAAATATCTCTGTACTAATTCTCAACCAACCAAAACAAAATCTCAATTGTGAAGGAAAAATTAAAAATAAATCAAAGTAAATTTTGTTTAGAAAAGAAAGAAAATATATGTTAAACCTAAAAGATGGAATTTGGTTGGGTGGGCCCTACAGTCAGTCAAAATGAAAAATATATTCAGAAGAGTAAGCATAGATATGAAAATCCCTTGGGATATGGGAGATAATTAATTAGGAATGTATCCTTTCATTGAACAAGAAAACAAATTGAGAATTAAGGATATTGTGTTTTCCTAACACGTATAGAACTTGGGTCCTCACTCTTAACAAGAAGGTCTGAAGATTGTCGTGGCACACACCAATAGGATATACTGAAGAAGCAGGATCATTGTGAATTCTAGGCCAGCCTGGGTTATACCTTTAGGGTTAGTGAGATGACTCAGTGGGTAAGAGCACTTACTGCTCAAACTTGAGAAGCTGAGTTCAAATCCCCGGCATCCACATAAAAAGCCAAGCGTGGCCACTTATGCCTATAACCCCAGAACTGTGGAAGGAAAAGACAAGAAGAGGGAGGAAGAGACACTGGGGCTTGCTGCCCACCAGTCTAGCTCCAGGTTGAGTAAGGAGTAAGACAAAGAATGATAGAGCAGCACACCTGACATTTCCACTAGCTCCTGAGTGCAGACATGCACACACAAACACACACACACACACACACACACAGTAAAAAGGGAGGGAGGGAGGGAGGGAGGGAGGGAAGGAGGAAAGGAGCTAATTGAAATTAACTTTTTCTTTGGTTGATCAAATAAGCAGCATCATGGGAGGCGGGGAAAAAAATCATGTTGGGGCTGGAGAGATGGCTCAGCAGTTAAGAACACTGGTTGTTCTTGTGGAAGACCCAGGTTCAAATCCCAGCACCCACATGGCAGCTAACAACTGTCGGTAACTCTAGTCCCAGGGGATCCAACAGCCTCTTCTGACATCTGTGGGCACTGCACAACATGGGTGCACTTACCTACATGCAGGCAATACATGTGTACACATAAAATAAAAATAATAAAAAATTTTTTTTAAAAAAAGCATGTACTGTTAAAAACTTACTACTTACTAAGTATGATACTAAATTAAACTAGTAAGTTTTAACATGGAGGCTTACAAATTGGTAAATAGACCACTAAAAGAAACATAGTAGGACTTTGTGGCTCACTTTGTTGTTTAGTTGGTTGGTTGGTTGGTTAGTTGTTTTTGTTGTTGTTGTTGTTGAGACAGGGTCTCACTTGGTAGCCCTGGCTGGCCTGGAATTCACAGAGACCTGCCTGCTTCTGCCTCCCAAGTGCACCACCATACCTGGTTACAGTATGTCTGATTCTAGTCCATGTCTGTCCCATTGGGCTAGGCTGCCTTCCACAGAATGGCCCAAGGTTTACTTGCTACAATTAATATGCATCCAAATGACAAGCAGGACAATATTACTGTTGAGGTTTGTATTTAGAAATTGTTATCGGAAATCCCTTATGCATTTCCTATTAAATTATTCCCTTTTAATTTTCCTTAAGGAAGCTCACAAAGAATGGAACTTCAAAGGAAGAGCAGTTGTAGCAGTTGCTATAGCCTAGCATTCCCATCAGACGAACAAAGGGTCAGACAGCCCTGTTTTCAGTAATGTGACCTCAGCAAATGGCTTCGCTCATCATGTCCCAGCTTCCTCATCTGCAAAATTAGAGACAGGAACAGAGAACTTACCTCAGATGAGCTCTGTGGATGGCAGATGAGCTCCTTGAACGCAAAGAATTTAGCATGGAGATGCCTATAGAAACTACTTTTATGGTCACAAGCTTACTACACAGCCTTTAATTTTTTTTTTATATTTATGAGTGTTATGCCTGCATGTATGTAAGTGCATCCGTGTTGTGAAATGCCTACAGAGAACAGAAGAGGGCCTCAGATCCTGGGGAACTGGAGTTATGGATGGTCATTGGCTGCCATGTGGGTGCTGGGATTCGAACCAGCGTCTTCTGCAAGAGCAGCCCATGCTCCTAACCACTGAGCCATCTTTCAGTCCCTCACACAGCCTTTCAAAAGGCATCTAACAGCTGAATTACTGTTACATCAAAATATAGCCAGCCTCTTCAACTCCTTCTGAGTCTTCAAACTCCTGTCTTTATTTTTTGCTAACTTCAGGCATTCCCATGGAAGTGGAAAGGCTGCAGGGCTTACAGGAAGGGCTGGAATGTGCTGATGAGCAGATCCACATCAAGATTTCCTCCAAAATAGCTAAGGTAACGAATGTGGAAGACTGGCTGAGGAAAATAAAGATATTTCTCGGTTAACTTCTAAATGAGTAAGCTATGGATTCCTCATTATAAAGGCAGGACGGCAATGATTTATATTCTGAAGCTAAATGAGAGACCTTTTGTTCTGTCAGTTACTTTATTAACTTTGGGTACATGTGTCCAGCTCACCTCTGCTGGGGCCCATGACATCCATACCATGAGAAACGTTCTGAATGAAGAGACCTCAGAAGCAGGAGGCAGCGGAACAGAATGGAAGGAGCAGTGCTTTTCATTCAGATGTGTTCTGTGTGCTCTACTTGAAGCGTGTTCCTCGTCTTCAGACAACTAAGAGAACACAGCTTACTTCGTAGTTATCACGAGGATTGACCAATCAATTCAGTCATTACTTCACGCATGCATTCACTCACCTACCATCTCCCAAGCATCCAGTGTATTCCAAGGTCAGTTGTGGACTTTAAGAGGAGAAAAAGACTAAATCCCTATTTTCAGTGATATTCCATCCAGTAAGGGATGTCTTAAAAATAAAAGAATATCAAGCAAAAACAAAAAATTCAAAAACAAAAAATCAAGTAAGAAAATAAGGAATAAGTTAAAGATGATCCTCTAGAGGGAAAAAAGGCATCCAATAAAATCAAAGCAGTATATTTACAGAAGGAAGGAAAGTATCTTGAGGACAGGGAGCATTTTCTCAACTTACAAAAGCTTCTATGGGTTAGTGGGGCTTCTGGGAGACCTGAAGGGTAACTGCTGCTGTGGGGAGAGTGGAGTATTGGGGAGTAAGAGCAAGACTGGTGAAGTCAGTTTGAAGGAAGCTACAGGAATGCAGTTGTGAGATGAGATAGCTTGGATCAAGGTGACAGCAACGGAGACAATAAAAAATTGATGGGAATGTGAGAGAGAAGTGAGCCAGCACCATATCACAGAAGCAGGAGCCTGGCGTATTACTCTTGGAAAATGGCTTTCATGAGTAACTGTTCATAGAACAGAGCTCACTTTTTTTTTCAACAAAACATCATCAGGCCATTTAACATGGTGGTGGGGAGTCAGTTGTGAGTATGAATATTCTCACGTCCATGAATCACAACCATCTGAGGATAAAAGTTAAAAAGTTAAAGGCCAAGATGATGCCCCTGTGATTGAAACTGCCACCCTGGTGGCCCACCTTTTCCATTAGCACACGTACTTAGACATACACACTCATATCTACACATTGCTATCAACCATGCATTCTATATTCTTCTTATATCTGGAGACTAAAATTGCAGTTTTTATTTCCTTGACCTTATATTGACTGATCTTAATATTGAAACATGGATACAGTCAGTCACCTGGGTATTCAGCATGGCACTCAGTATATGTGACAAGTCCATTATTTCCCTTGTGCAGTATGCTATAAATTTAGGTTTGAGATGAAATTGCCACAACAGGCTTGAGATTCAATAAATATGAAATAATAAAAAGGCCACTCCAGGAAAATCTGCTTAGAAATACAAAGGTCAGATTAGGTCCTGTTTTCTCTAGTTTCTGTGACCTCAGTCATGCACTAACCATTTGAGAAATCCAGTGGTTAATATCTTAAAACAAATTGTAGCAGCATGTTTAGGTGTCCAGACATGAAGTGAGGTATTTGGTAATGTGTTTGTGGCTGCATCCTCAGATTGTTTGCAAATTCATACCCACTGAAGAAATTCAGACATTCTTGGAGGAAGCACTGGATGGTCTGGAAACTCTCAACCCCATGTGCACAAAGGCCTGTGGCATATGGATGATCGCTGCCCTGAAGGAGCATGGGGTTTCTCTGGAAGACCAGGTGAACCAACAACCAGCTGTGTAATGGAACAGAATTCTAGCACCTCTTAAATGCCAATCAGATAACTTTTCTGTATCTGATTGTGAAGCGGGCATGAGCTTCAGACCCCTCAAGAGACCTCAGCAGAGACCCAAACCATGTGTTAATAAGGCTGGGTTGTCTCAGTTGCCTAGCTAAGTCTTTGCTCATAAAAACTCTCAAAATACAGTTGATCGAGTGCTTGCCTAGCATGCACAAAGCCCTGGGTTCAGTTCCCAGCACTGCATAAACAGAGCACGACTGTGCATGCCTATAATCCCAGCACTTGAGAGGCGAAATGGGAGGATCAAGGAGCTCAAGGCCCTCGTTGGCTACATATAGAGTTCAAGTCCAGCCTGGGATATAGGAGATCCTGTCCAAAACAAACAAATATGCAAACAAACAAAACACTCAAAATAGTTTCTACTCTGACCAGAAGAAACAATTCTGATTTGGGGAAAGTGGGATATTAGATTTTCAAGGCTGGGAGTGAGCAAGTAGAAGCTGCTGAGGCGACCACCAGGGATGAAAGAGTCTCCACCAGACTCTTTCTTGTCACATCACTGCTCACACCTCACCAGAGTATGTTATCCAATAAGCAAGGCTGCCAGTAGGTTGTAAGAAAGTGCTCAGTCCTTTGTCCCAGCTGGAGACTCAAGCAGAAAGAACACAATTTAAATTCAGAAATCTTGCACATACAGACAGCACTAAATGGATTCAATGGGTATTAATTTTAAAAAAGAAATCACACGAAGTTAGAAAAGTGTTGGGAGGGGAATTTGATCAAAACACATAGGCATGTATAAATATCAAGTAAAATATTAAAAATAAATTCAGAAATCTTTGTTAAGAGCTCCAAATGAAAACACCTCTATCCTGACTCCTGAAATTAAAGACAGATTATAAAATACAAGATTAATAAAGAGGAAAGAAAGTCAAATTAAATGTGCACATCAAGGAAAAAGAAGTTCGTATCCCCGTATTCCATTGTCAACAGCCTTCAATTTAAAACTTCTCCAAAGCATAGCTTTTGAATAAAGGCATTAGAAATCATCTATTTCCTAATTACTTTCCAATAAGTCATTTTTTAAAAATCACAACCATGTGCTACACATTTGATAAATATGGAATATCTGTGTGATTAGCCTAAGGAGACATGTTCACACATTGTGGTAAAGGTTTCCAAAGGAGAATTAAATCCTCTCCAATTATCATTGAACAGGGCCTTTATGGTAATCATTTTAAGAGATACTTACATTTGTGAATAGTAATTGAAAGGAAATGTTATGCTTATAATAAATGTCTGGTTTAAATATCCACTCAAAGCAAGAAAGAGAAACTTCTATTAGAGACAAAGAATTTTTAGCATGGATACATGCCCTTACCCATATTAAAAATCCGCATTATAAAATCATTCCTCACTGTTCACAGGTTAACATCCAAATTCCGAAGGATGGTGTTCAGAATCCTCTGGGAGCTTGACTTTATCTTTTCTGTGAAATCATCCTTTGTCACCCTCATCCTCATGTTTTTCAATTTTACATCTTTCCTATGTCCTTTCTGATAAGGATGTCATCTCTACCCTCTCTACCTTGCCCTTAGAAATTGCTGCATATCCTTAAGACACAGACCCAGTGATCCTCCAAAATGTCCCAGTAGCTTCTGGAACACATTTTTATTGATTCTTTGAGAATGTCATACAATGTATTTTGATCATATTCAGGCTCCCCTCACCCAGCTCCTCTGAGATATACCCACACTTCCCTACCCACTTCACTTAAAGTCCACTGTTTTAAGACCTATCGAGTCTTAATTTGTGCTCTCCAAATACTCTTGGGTGTGGGTCCATTCCCTGGAGCCTGGCCAACCTAACCAGCATCACATGAAAACCAACTCTTCCTTTCCCAGCAGCTATCAGTTGCCAATAGTTCCTCAGCGAGGAACTATTTTGTGCCTATCTCCCTGCTTCATGCTGAGATTTTGTCTAACCTGAGCTTGAGCAGCTCTTGTGCACGCTGTCACAACCACTGAGTTCACATGTACACCTGCCCTGTTGTGTCCTCATGTTCATCCACCAGCTCTGCCTTGGACACACTATTGGCCACATATCACCTAGAGCCCATTAATTTGGGTAAATGACTGAAGTACTTTATTGAATCATTGCCTCCTTTTGCATTATGGCCGCATCTTTTTCTTTTTCAGTATAGTCCTCACAATACCTAGCACAGCACCTGGCATACTGCATTTTTCCACTAATGTTTTATCAAGCCAGGCTAAGAATAGGTACCCATTTCACCAGCAATCTTGAATGAGAAACAAGCCATGTGTAGAACCAATAACTATCTTTAACATTATTGGCAATTCATCAAGCACCACAACACTGTGCTAATGATACTTCTTTGGGCCATTTATATAGAGAGCAGGGAGTAACTTCATGCTTTCTTCCTAGTTGCTGGAGATCCTGAACACAATTTACCACCACATGCCAGTCCTCAGACAAAAGGAGGAAAGTTTTCAGTTTATGCTGGAAGCTGTCTCCCAGATAGCCAGCTTTCACATGAATGCAGTTGTTGTCAACCTGCTACAGAAGCCTCTGCCCTTCGACAGGTAGAATCTAACACAACTGGTGCCTTCTCCCAGAAAAGTCCAACCTGCGAGGCATTGGGAAAGATTTGTTGTTTGAGAAGATATCAAAGGTTGAAAACATCTCACCCCAACGGCAATTTAAAAATTGGTATCTGAACCACAAATAGTATTTCCCAAGCAGTTTATTGGATGACAAAGGAGTTATGCTTAAAATATAAATGTACTCCATTTATAATAGGAATAGGTAAACATTGAAAGTAAATAGTCCTCTTCTTGGTTTGCCTAAAATGCTCCAGTAGGAGGGGTTTCCATCTGTTTGGAAATTAATAAAACTTAGCAACCCAAGGCCAAAATGCTGGGTGGTTAAATAAAACATCTTTATTACTTCCTGGCATGGCAGCCCATCCATCTGCCCTTGCAAGTATATCTGGTCATTATGTGGTTTTAAAATGAGTCAGATAGAAAAGCTCACAGTCCAAGGATTTGTGCCTTATCTGTCAATTTCCTGCCCTGCCACTCTAGGGACACAAAGACATTGTGGAAGGCACTGGCTGAAAACCCAGCCTCCAGTGGAAAGCTCATGAGAACCTTGACAAATAAACTGGAAGCCAAGTTAGAAGATGACATTGCTGGGGTAGATGCAATTTCAGTAAGTTGGACATTTGCTCTCTTGTCTGGGTCTGTGCCCTACTCTGTGACCTGTCCCCACCTGGGCTTGGATGATGGAGCATTAATCAGACTTATCTTGTGCCTAAATTTAGCTATATTCCATTTTGTATTACACAAACATGGCAGCAAGGTTGCCTGTGGTTGATCACTTTTGGAAGTAAATTTCTCTTCAGCCCCAAGGAAAATGCATTTCCAAGTTAGTCTTCAACATATCTAGATGACCCTTTTGTTGTTGTTGGAAAGCCTTGGTGCTGAAAAACATTTCATTTTCCATTATGGGTGTCCCTGCAGTCATGATGCTGCCATGGCAGTCCCAAGAGACAAATTGCCCGAGTGGAGAGACCTATGTTCCCATCTCTGTGTGTTTTTACCGTAAGCACCATGAATTGAAGATGGTCACTGAAGAAGAACACAAACTGGCAGAGGAAGCTAGGGAGAAAGTGACCTGGGAGAGAAGAAACCTGCTTGACCAAGAAGTTCATTTGTCCCCGCAGGTGGCCTGTGCTATGTATGAGGTGATCTTAACAGGAGCCCATGTTACTCGCTTGTATCCTGAGCTGTTCACCCTCCTTCTGAAGCTGGTCAGCTGCATGCTGGGCCAGAAGATGCCAATTTCTGCCTTGAGGCACAGGCGACGTGTGATGCAACTGGGGGAACAGCAGCAGGTACCAGACCCCTGCAGGTAAATGGCCCATCAGGAAAAGTTTTCCTTGAGCTTCCTGATCCTATGCTCCAGAAGAGAGGTTGTGGAAGCTAGAGTCTTGCCTTCTGGCCTAGCGTCTAAAAATAACTTGTGAAACAGCTCTTTACCATCCTTGGACTGTGACCCCAGCCTTGTTCTTTCTTTTCCCTGGGTCAGTGTGGCAGTCTCCCCAGAATGGTCACATGAGGAATGAGCGCCAGTGCTTTCTTCCCTAGAGGGCCCATGCTGTTTCTTTTGTTGCCATCTTTCTGGGAAAGTTGGAATTCTGTGATACTGAAGATCACAAGAGAATGAAAACAAATGCCATATTCCATCTAATCTAAGACTTCAGTAATTGAAAGAAGCAATGGTATCTTGTATTCCGCTGAGAAAAAGAGACTCCATAAGTCAGTACTTTTTTATATTTTTTAAAATCTTGTTTTATAGTCATCAAGAGAATGCTTTAAGAATTATTGGGTATAGATTTTCACCCTATATTACTATGTCCCATTTTTCTGTTTCCATGACCTTTTGTATAACCATGACCTTTTTCATTCCCAATGTCAGATCATAGTACAAGCTTTTAAAAGACCTTTTAAACCACAATTAGACTCAACACATGTTGTTCCAAGAATACAAATACCTTCACTAAAATGACAGCACTACGAAGATCCATACCTGAACCAAGCACAGACATGTTAACACATAGACAAAAGCAGTTGCATCACAACTACTGACAGGTCAAGAGTCATAGCCATACATCATCCACTGCAACACACAATCTGATCTAAAGGTGCTGTTTTAGACTCAGCAAAAAACACTATTTTTTACTTTCCATTCTTAATCATTTTTCCTTCATGGGCAGTTGATGAGATTTTGTGTCATCGTCTACTGGCCCATGTCACTTGGCTGTTCCCTTTGACTCCAAGAGTAATGTATGAGAACAGAACTGTCTGATTTTCTCTTTTTAAAAAATATTTTGTTTATTAGTTTTATTTTATGAGTGTTATGCCTTCATGTAGGTAAGTGTACCTGTGTCATGCAATGCCCACAGAGAACAGAAAAGGGTGCCAAGTTCCCTGGAACTGGAGTTACAGACAGTTGTTAGCTGCCATGTGGGTGCTGGGAAAAGAGAACCGGGTTCTCTGCAAGAGCAGCCAGTGTTCTTAACCACTGAGCCAACTCTCTAGCCCCCTGACTGTCTCTTTTAAATCATCCATGAATCCAAGGTTAGGAGCATTGTAGGAAATAGGAAGCACAAACCGGGAAATTTGTGATTTTCTATGTGGGATTGATTTACTTCTGTGATTTCTGTTGTCTCCTTTAGGCTTGCAACTGCAACTCTGAAATGTTTGCAAGCCCAAGCCATGAAGGAAGGCCTTGCAAAAGAGTCTGATGAGGGTGACAGTTTATGGACCCTTCTTAGCAATCCTGATACCCATCACACAGGCGTGTGTGCACTGGCTAGGTAATGTGCAGATCATCTGGAACCAGATACAAAAGAGCAAAACAAAAGCAAAGCATGAGTGGGCAACATAGGCACCTTCACTGAGAGTACCCCAGTCACCATAAAGGAAGAATGGTCAAGGGAAAGGAGGAGGAAGAGATGGTAGCACCAGCCCCTAACTCACCATTTCCCTCAAGGAAGAAAATAACTGAAGCGAACTACTTTGGATAAACTATATTTAAACTGGATGCTTGGACAGATTGTTTTAAAATTAAATCTTGGTAGTCTTTCATCTAAAATCTGTGTTGAGATAAAATATTGGCTTGAGGGGCCTATCAGTATACTAAGGCTTCCTCCATTATTTAGGGGGAGATAAAGTCCTTCCTAAAATTTTGCATTTTCTAGGAGTATGGCAGTCTGGCAACATGGAGTCATATTGGACATCATGGAACACCAACTCTCATCTCTCACCTCCTCCTCAGAGAACTACCGGATAACTGGCACGGCCTTCTTCTCTGAGGCAAGGAAGAACAGACATCAGAACATATTCCACTGGTCCTTTGGGATATTTCTCATATAGGATATAGAGCTCAGTGAAAGTTGAAGCCACTGAAGAGAGACCCTCATGGGGAATTTCAGTAGTGAAGGGACCCATTCCTGCCAAAGATGCATAAGTGGGGAGTGAACGAGAAAGGAAACCCCTCTCTCAACCACCTCCCACAGAAATCAATTGTCCAGGGAAAAGAAGGGAGGAGAATAAATGTGGGAGGGACAAAACACAAAGCAACCACCAAGAATATTACTGGCCCTTACAACTCTGGTATAAGGACTAGGCTATCCAGAGCTGGAACCTCTGTTTTCATAAGTAACTTGTGTTTTCTTTGCATCATTTATCCTTTGAGATTATAAACATCCTCTTATCTAGGGATCCTGATTCTCCTTTCCTTAACCTGTGGGCAGTTCACATCTGAGCTCAGCCACTACAAGACCCTCTAAGTCACCTGAGGGTATTGTCCTCTTCCCCACAGCAGTAGGGACCTCTCTCTTATTGTACTTATCATGTCTTCAGCACTCTCCTGAAGGGCAGTGACTCCCTTAAGTAAAGGGAGGCGTATGTCAATTTCAGCTTATGAAGGAGCCAATCCTTTGGAAGCATGGAAATCTGAGAGATGTTCTGATCTTCATGGATCGGAGTGCCTGGGATTCCAATGTTATTCTAAGGCAAATGGCCATCCGAGGACTGGGCAACACAGCTTATGGGGCTCCTCACAAGGTAAGAGACAATGGGGGGCAGGGGTTCATTTAAGTAGAATTTCAAAGTAATAATTTACTAAGCCACATCTGGTAGCTTCACCGAACTGAAGTGAAAAATTCAAATACCTAACTGAAGCTTTAGGATTGAAGTACATGAGATAGTAATGTAATCTCAGACTTCTTGTCTGGGAGTTTCTACCCTTTTCCAGAAACACTTAGAGTAATTTCAGAGATTAAGAGGCCTTCTTTCAAAATAGGTGAAGCATAAGCGGATAATGTTAGAATCTATCATCAGAGGGCTATATCACTTGGCTCATACTGAAGTCGTCTGTGAAAGCTTGAAGGCTCTGAAAAAGATCCTGGAGCTGCTCACAGAAAGCGATGTAAGCTTCTACTTCAAGGAAATAGTGCTGCAAACAAGAACCTTCTTCGAAGATGTAAGTGAACCTTTTCAGGAGTCTCCCTTCCCCAGAAGTGAGCGAACAGAGATAGGTTCGAGCAGTCATGGAGAAGATGGTGCAGGTGCCCTACCAGCATTCCATGGCCAATCCAGAGAGAACCCGCAAGCAACTCCCACATAGGCTGCTGACTTCTGGTGTCTCTCTGTCTGGGGGTGCTCCCTGGCCCATAAAATCTGATTGATCTGAGCAAAGTGGAATAGAATTGTTGGGAGAAGAAAACCCTGGGAAAGAGCTACATAACTAATGAGAAACATGAGTTTATAGACAAATTTCTGTTTCTTCAGCCTACAGAAAGCTGAGTGCCACTTGCCTGTGCAGGCAACACACTCACAAGCACTCCATTTCTTCCCTTTCCTCCCTTCCCTATCTCATTCACAACCCCAGGCTTGTTTCCTGGGCTTAGCTCCCACATAAATTATTTACACCTAATTTACTTTAGGAAATACACAAACTGAGACAATTCCCAAATTTCTGTTCTGTTCTGTTGCCCAAATTTAAAGACTCATTTCATCCAGGAGGCTATGCAGCTATGACCCATGAATCAAATCTAGCCCACACTCTGTTTTTGTCAATAAAGTTTTATTGGAGTATAGCCACACTCATTAATTATATAGCAGAGATGATTAACTGCTAAAGAGACCAGAGGGGCCATAAAGTCTATTAAATTATTTGACTCATCACAAAAGCTCAGTCAGCAATTCTAGGTACAGGAGCATCATTTCCTTTCTATCTTCCAAGAACTATATTTTAGTATTTATTTATTTATTTATTTTTGGTTTATTCCTTGCCATCGATGTAAAAATCCATTTCACAGCTTAAAACCATTATCTTGTGATCTGTAGTAGTTTCTTCATGTCCCTATTGCCAGAGGAAATAGGAAACTGCTGACTGCCTTCTCTAGCTATCCTTCATAAACACTCAGGCTTTATTAAATTACTTATTTACTTTCTATTTTGCAGAGTGAAAAAAATCTTCATTTCCTTCATTATTCATCATAAACCTAATTTTTCTGTTCATTAAATATTGTATAAGTCACTGGCTAAGTTGGATCTTCAAATGAGGCCCAAGAGCCATTAAATAGAATGTTAAGAAAAATTAGCTCTTCAAGTACCTTTTCCTGTTTATTTACTCTAAATTTTTAATACTTCTCTTTCTTCCTGAATCATTGGCAATTTATTAACCTTAGTATCTAACAATTTTAATGTACAAGATGTGCCCACTATCAATAATTCTTGAATTTTATAGTTTTGCATTTTGTATTTTTTCTTTGTTTATATTGTAGTCTAACCTAGCTTTGGAAAACAACTGCCTATTTTTTTCCCCAAACATTTTCTCTAAGTTACCCTCAAAAATGTTTAGGAGGCTAACACCCAATTTAGAATTTTCTGTAAAAGAAGAAAAAAAAAGTTCCTTTTTTCACTATACAAACAATTGATACAAATCTTTAGCAAGGGGCTGACAGAAGTCCTCTCTTTAGGACCTGTTAGATTACCTGGGTTCCTGTTGAAATAATATTTCTCTTAATTCTCTTAAGTCTAAGCTCTCAGTAAGTTACAAGTCTGCCTAACAGTTCCAAAACAATGTTTCGGGGTGCTATTGTAGAAGAAAAAATGTAAATTTTTGCTCGCTAATAGGTTAAACACTTCCTGTTCCTAGTAGGGATTGATTCCATCACACTTGCATGAACATTTGATAAAAATATGCTGTTTTTCCTCTAGTTGTATTATTTTCCTGAAAGTATCTTAACTCTACAATACTTTGCCCCTATGTTTTGCTGTAGAAAAAGCACACAGTTCTGTGATGGACTTTTCTCTCTTTTTCCTCCCATTATGCAAATGTTTTCCTATAATTCTCAAAACATGATAATGTTTCAATGAACGGTGGAACTGAAAACATGCTGTCGGCCCACACTCCTGTCCCTTCTCCCTAGGCTGTCACCTTGATTAATAATCACTTCACTCTGTGTAAATCCATTTTTTCACCTGAAAAATGAGCACACTGGGCTTGATAGATACTTCCTAATTTTGAACTAGTTTTGTGGGCCAGAACAGAAAACTCATCTTTGTTTCTTTCCTTTTCTATAACTCTGAACCATATCAACAACGTGCATATACAAATAGCAGTCGGCTTTCTTCCTCCACCATCCTACACTTTATTTCTTGAAATTATTTCCCACTAGCCTGGACAAAAGACAAAGGTCTATAATTTCATGCACTCAAGAATAGGGCCAGGCAGGTTTCTATTTCGCTTGAGACTCAAAGCCCAATTCCTAGACGCCTTCAATCCCTGTATAAAATATTTGGCATCTTGAAGAAGAGCTCTGGACTTTTAGAAAACTTAAAATAGAGGCCACATAACTTTGGCCTACTGTTGCAACCTGGCCAATTTATGTAAAGATACAACAAATGAGAATCCTCCCTGGCCTTCTGTTGCCAGCGCTCTGATTTATTATTCCTACAATCATGTACCCCACTCTCTATTCAAGAGCAGGAGTCAAGTCTCCAGTTCTATACCACCACCTAAAACTGGATCTGCGGAATTTTATTTAAACTCATGTATGGAGAAAACTCTTGTGAAAAGAACCTTTAGAATATGCAGCAACTGTGACAAGGACTCACCAGGGCCCAGATTCCAGTCTCCTTTTCTGGAGTGGGGCAAGGTGGGGTGGATTCTAAGAGGATGCTGGTATAGAATATCTTATGAGAAGATGTATTTGTCACCACAGGAGCAAGATGATGTGAGATTGACCGCCATCTTCTTATTTGAGGATCTAGCATCCCTAACAGGAAGAAAGTGGAAGATATTTTTTGCTGAAGAAATAAAAAAGAGCATGATTTCATTCCTTCTCCACCTCTGGGATCCTAATCCCAAGATTAGAGCTGTAAGTCAGGCTGCAGACACCTTTACCTCCTCCCTCTCCCCAGGACTGAGAAGCACTAGTAAGCCTGGTCTGTCTCACTGAACTAGAAGCCAGGTCTGAAGTCACTCTTCAGAACTAAACCTGAAAATCAACTTCTTCAATTCAGATTGCTTTGTGTCATCTCAACCCAACTTTTTCTTCTCTCCTTGACCCTGGGACATACTCTAAAGCCCTTCAAATTGCCAGCTTTTATTGCTCTTTCCCCCTATACTGCAGAGCATTTATTCCTTCTGGCAGAAGACTCCCAGCCCTACCTCTGTTTTCTAGGCTTGCCGTGATGTCTTGGTCTTCTGTATCCCTTTCCTGGGCCTTCAGGAGCTCTATGGGTTATTAGACCACCTCCTTGAACAGGACCTTCCATGGGCCAGGGATTTCTATAGGCAATTCTGCATGAAACTGGTGAGTGTACAGCCGATGATGCCAGGAAAGTAGCAGGACAGAAGTCTAGACAAACGTAATGAGGATAAAAAGTATAATAGGGGTTGTCTGGCTAGAACCAGTGTTGCTCTGGAAAGATGGCAGTGATCCCTGGCATCCTCACGCTTTGCCCTCTGCTCCTCTCTCAAATCCAAAATGGACCCAATCATCTATGTTCCTGGAATGAAATCTGTTAACTAGTTCTTTAAGACCTAGTGCCTTTCTGACTAAATTTTGATTGAAATAGCCATAAGAAAATTTTCAACCAATTAAAAGTGGCTGTGGGTGTTAACTGGCTTTTAGAGTTCTCCTCAGAGGGCGTACAGGATGATAAATGTCATCAAGGTTCACTTTCCAGTTACTCTCTTTAAAGTCGCCCATATCTCTTCTAGGCCAAGAAGAACCAGGAAATTCTGTGGATCCTCTACACACATTCATTCACTTTCTTTGCCAGCAGCTGGGAGGTAATCAGGAGCGCAGCCATCAAGCTCACAGGTAACATCACATCCACAGTCCCCACCCACGTGTGTCTGTTCTTTCTCATCCAGTTTTTGCTTTGACTAAAAGCTTCCCCAGTATGAAACTGGCACAACAAAAAAAATATGGGCGGGAGGAAGTCCAGGAAGAAATTTATTGTATGTCTTGTGACATCATCTTTTCTTTCACAAATGAAAGCTCTCAGCCTCATCTGACGCACCAGCTGTCCCCCACCTGACTATCCTCTCAAGCTCCCCCAGGCTCCACTTCTTCCAAGTCTTGGCTCTTTCTTTTCTCCAAGTCTTTGTTTCTAGCCTGCCACATCAGAATAAATGCCATGCTTTGCCTTATCCCTTCCTGTGACCCAACATTCTCAGTTCAGTTCACGCTGATAACATGAGCAGCAAGTCACCTGGGACAGGGGATGGGGCATGTTGATGTGAGGACCCACAGACCTTGGTTCTGCTGTGCAACATGGGGAAGTCACTTCCCTGTCAGATCTATAGAACATAAATAAGTGAGTCTCTTAAGACTCTTGTACTACAAGAAATCCTAAGTTTTCTCTGTAAGTTTCTTCCAACTATTCCATACCACAGTGAACAGGCCCACTGGCTTGGCCCATTTTTTTTTTCCTTTAAATATGTTTTACTTTTATTCTTGGATGAAAATCATTCCCCTAAGCATAAAAAACATTGCTCAAGAGTTGACTTAATTTCGGATTCCTAAAAGACATTTGCAAAAAGCCCATATGGCTTAGTAGTGGATAACGCCCTACACTACAGCTGGCTTGGCCCATTTTAACACCAAGTCCTAAGGATTCCTTACTGGATCTTGTGTATCATAGTCTCAACTACAATGTGAATTTGTTGAATACAGGAGACATATTTTACACAGATTTTAAACCTGACGAACACCTCCTCACCCTCCAGAAAGTCAATTTGTGAATTTTCCAAGTGCTCTCTGAACCTGTGAATGCCTTCCAGTCATGGTGCTCAGGGCCCAATAGAAGTTCCCCTCATGTCACCCTCAGCGATGCATTGGGACATATATCATTTGCTCAGTCACCATTCAGACATTATGACTAGGTCTGGTCAGGTTCACTTTTCTCTCACAGTGAAGTCAGTAACTTTTTCTTTCGTTGACTTTAGATGCCATTATTCTCCATTTGACCAACCAATATGTGGAGCTGTTAGACAAAGAACAGTTCACCCTGCGTAAGTACCAACCCTAGTTTGTGCACATAATTTTACTTCATTCTTGGAGAAATAAAAATTAATTACTCCAAGTTCCATATAATCCCAGAAACAAACAAACGAAAAAAAAACCTTAGTATCTAGTTAGTCTCTGAGGCTTTCTAGGCCCTGCAATTTTATGGTTTAGTAGCATCTTCCAGTTCCACTCATTTTCTGACATCATCCACAACAGGCTGAGACTTTTCTAATTGTCTAAACCCACTGACCACAAAGCTCTCCTCCTCCTCTT